GTAAATTCTCAATGTCTGAGCCTGCCAACTGTTTTGGCCACCAGTGTTTGGCCATTCATTCATTTGTCTATTTTCATGGGTTTCATGCAATTGGGCAATGTGAATGCTCGCGCACACGAAAATGGCTAAAAGACAAAGTGTAAAGTGGCTAAATTTATTCAAAACAAATCGACTACAGCAGTAACAGCAACAACAACAACAACAACAACAAATGTGTAGCAATCTAAGGCAGGCAACTCAATAATATAGAAACGTCGCCCACTTAGAATAATAATTTGTTTATAGTATATTAAAATTAATAATAATGCCGTTAAAGTGTGTATGTATGTGGCGGGGTGTGCGAGTGGCGCGTGTCTGGCCAAAAGAAAAATACATTTAAAAATAATAAAATATAAAGTAGTAGTAGAAAAACAGTAACAAATAACAATATTGCCCCACACGCAGCAGCTATAATAATACCAAATAGATTACAATTAAAAAACAAAAACAAAAACAAAACAAAAAATCAAGCAGACACAAATGAAGAAAATGGCCCATAATTGTCCCATTTTTGGCAGCGGCTCAATTCAATTGTCACAAGCACACGCACACACACACACATACACACAGATACATGCACACACACCCACACACACAGAGGTACTCGACTGTTTGCTTTTGCAATACAAATTCCCTGTTTACCCCATTGTGCGGTTCGCTGTATAATTAGCCAGCCGCGCCAACTGCAATGCGATCTACGCGTGCGCCCCAAGCCAAGCGACTCGAAAAGAAAAGAAACGAGACGAAACGAAACGAAACGAGACGAAAAAGGAAAAAAAAAATCCCAAAGGCCGGCAACCGCAAAAGCCGCAATTAAATACCAGAAATTACAATATCAATCGCACAGCATTCATGCACAGTATAAAGTGTGCCTAGCCCAACACGTGCGCTACGACCGCGCATGCCCCGAGCCGGGAACCGGGAATGTGACAGGTTGATACCCTGTAGACCGTTCAAGTCACTTGCCCTGTCTGCCAGCTATGTACTTAGGTGCGCATATTTACACTGCATATGCAGAGGCTGGAACCTAGAGATCATCATAGTGACTAAATGTACTATTCATATGGAGTTTGAGCCCTCCTCTCTTTACTGTTTTCCGATCTTCAAAGTTATCTAAAGTCCATACAAACTTATGTGTATATTCGGTATTGCATTCTCTTCTTAAATTCCTTAGTAATCTCCTCTATCCTCTTATATTTATATACACACCTATAGACACCTATATTACTGGAGTTGTTCTTCCTGTCTTTTCTTTCGTTCTCTCTCTCTCTCTCCCTCTCTCAATCCTTCTCCCCCCCTCTCTCCATCTCTCTCTCTCTCTCTCTCTCTCTCTCTCTTTCTCTCCTATAATCTATGTATGTACCATATACACAAATAATTAGTATGGGAGGTATTCTCCCTTCTCTCTCTTTCATTCTCTCTCGCTTTCTCTTCCTCCCAGATTCTCTCTCTTCTATCATACCTCCTCATCTATCAATGTCAGGGTATTTCGAAAAATTCCCCATTTTCCCCGTTAAAAGTGGGCTTAGAGCATAGGGTAAACAGGTAGAGCAAGTGGCGTTTGCAAGCTGTGAGAGTTTCGTCAATTCGCTAAGCAAAATTGACGTCAGCAGCAACATCGTCATAATCATAATCATCGTCAGCATCATTATTATAATCATCGACAGCGGCTGCTGTTTGTCTGTTTGTATTTGTTGCAGCCGAAGCGGTAACAGAAGCAAGTTCTTTATGCTGTTGTTGTTGTTGTTGCTACTGCTGTTATCGTTGTTGTTGTAGCATGTATTATTATTATTAATATTAATAGCCCGTTTCCATTTGATTTCATATTATTTTTTATTTTCGCACGCGGTTTTTTTTGAGCACCGGCTCTGGCGGATAGCCGTGCACGTTTATTCCGCCGTAAGCACTTACACACACACACACACACACACACACATACGCATACACAGGCAAAATATTTGAGTGTTTCGTTAACTTGGCCCATAAACATTGAGCACATGAGGCAGAGACTCTGTTAAGTGCATGCTAGCAAAAATAATATAATAATAACGAGAATGGAATATAATATATTATAATRAAAGTGCCCTCAGTCCCAGACCCAGCCCCAAAACCAACCCTGCCCCTGTTCCAATCCAGCTCCTTGGAAATGGTAATTGTATCCAGCGGGAGCACACACACACACACCGACACAGACAGACACACAGATGCCGTATAATAATTTTTAATAGTTTAATACCTATTCCACAGCTAGCTAACAGTACTTGAGCCTGCATCTGGCCCGGGAATCACGGTGTGCAATTTTCAGCACATTTTATAAATTCTGTAACCGACATTACAGACACAGCTAAGTTGACATTTACAAAGCCAAACGGAGTTCTACCAACAACCAACTGCCAATGCAATCCAGTCCAGTCTGCAGCTCAGCTCCACTGATCCATTGATTGAGTGATCTGAGCTGAGGATCTAGCATTGACTTTAACAGCATGCAATGTCATGGAATGGAATGCAATGTTGGCGAGTTAGCATTCTGTTGACTTTATTAACAGTGTTGTATGCTGCTAACTAATTAACATACATGTAACGTGACTTTGACATTAACATTGCTGCTCACGGTATGTTAATTTAATCAATTTAACATAACATTGCTGTTCAAAACATGTTACTGGATAGTTAACATAGCTGTAATCTTATTAACAGTGTTGTGTGCTGTTAGCGAATCAACTTCCATGTTAAGCCGGTTTAGCATTAACATTGCTGTTAGCAGTATATGACTTCATTAACATTGCTGCTTGCTGTTAGCAAATCAACATTCATGTTAACTTTGCTGTTAACAGCATGTTTTGGCGTGTAAACATTAACATTGCTTAGCAGTGCTAGGTCTGCTTAACAGGGATTTAACATTCTACTGCCCGCTTGTTTTGCATTTTTTCGGAATTCCAATTGGGCACAGACAGATAGATAGATAAAAAAACCTGTATGAGCCTACAAAAAATTATGATTATTATTCACAAATTTTCAAGTTTTCAAAATTACAAATTCATAAATTTACACATTTACAAATTCACAAATTTACAAATCTACAAATCTACAAATTTGTCTGTACCCCAACCACTCGCAGCTCCTCTTTGGGCGACAAGCTCGTTGCTAATTCTATGAGTTGGAGCTCTTCCTCTTCGGCGGTGTCGACTTTTTGCGTTTTTTGCATACATAAATATTAATTTGTTGTTAACAAATTATAAAGCTGCGACTGCGGCGCGGCTCGTCTTATTAAGAGCCATAAGCTGGAGCATTTTTATGTTAATTTCGGCAATATGTTTTCTTCTTCTTCATCTTCTTCGTCTTCATCATCTTTTTTTCTTTCTTTTATTTTATTAGATGCTATTTTTTGTTTTAAGAATATCTATGCCATCTCATTTTGTCCGCAGTCGTTGTTTATAGACGGGCCATAAAAGTGTTTAGCTCGATGCTTATCGCTTCATTGAAGCGACAAGCGAAGCCTTATGCTTTGTGTACCTGTGTGAATAATTGTGTATGCGGCATACTACTAATATGCAATTAATTGATGTCTACCTGCCCACCTATCCACCTGTCCACCTGCCCGACTCTACACATTTATATCTCACAAAATAAAAAAGCTAAAAATAAAAAAAAAAACAGCTAGCAGGAAACATGAACTTGAACTGGCGCGACCAGCAGCTAATTACAGCACTAGCAGAACAATGGCAGAATACTAGACAGATTATGGGAATACGAATATACATATATGTGTATATAGATATAGATTCAGATATATGTATATTCATGTACACACACGCATCTATTATAATGCGAGCTGGGCTGGACACACAATGGAGCCTCTATATGCATCACGTATGCAAATAATTGATTTTAATTAGCGGTCCTCCATGGTCACTTGGTTCCGGGTTCAGGCATATTAGTAGCTCATTAAGAGCATGTGCAATGTGATCAATGTCTGGCCTAATCCCATAATTACATATCAGCTAGTGATGCTATCAAAATTGTTGCTAATTAATGCCATTTCATGGTCACTCTGATCACCTGCCCGATCCCCAAATCGATATTGAGTGTCTGTGGGATATGAGCTTAATTGAATGCCACGGGCATTAGCCCATCACTGTCCATAGCTGATCTATAAGTTGATTAGAATTTGACTCGAGTCAAGCCAAATCAAAGCTAATAGAATTTGCGTTCATTCAGCAAACCGAATCAATCCTATTAGAGATACGAATAACGAAAATTGAAACCGAAAATTAACTGATATATAATATACAGTACACAATATACACACACACACACTCACACACACATTCGTTTGGCTGGTCGTCACACTTGACAGTCTATACATAAAAATGAGAATAAAAACTATGAACGCAAAACAAAATAAATTCAATCCAATCAAATTATATCATTTGTCTACGAAAATCCCAGCAGCAGCAGCAACAACAACAACAGCAACAACAGCAACAATTATGGCCACAATTTCAATAATGAAAAGTCTGCCAGCTAATGTCTCTCGTTTGTGTTGCTAATAATAAATAATATTATTATTGTTATTGTTATTGTTATTGTCATTGTCATTGTTGTGCTTATAGTATTACACATGCCATGGCGCACTTATTTCATATATGTATATAAACCTGTATATATATACATATATACATCGGCTGATATGTCTCTCCACCTACCCATATAACAGCTCGTGCTTGGCTTATTACTGCCCATCTCAATGGTTGCTTCTAATATGTTTTCAATTTAAATAATAATCATATACACATACATGTGCATACTATGTATATGTACATATATGTGTGTGTGTGTGTTGTCTGTGAGCAACACGTGATCTTTTTGCCCGTTTTGGTTTGACTTTGTCTCGCAAATCGCTTTATAATTGCCTAATGGCTTCTATTCAACATCTTGTTCTCTCGTTCTTCTCATTACAGAAAGCATTAAAGCCGCCCAATTGATTAGCAACATCCCCACCACGGTCTCTCTATATCTCTATCTGCATCTCTCTCTCACCGGCAACTTAACCAAATCGGAGTACTCAGAGAACACACAAAGCCAGCCAAGATGACTGGTTTTACAAACGCTGGCTTCGAGAACGATGAGCCCGTCAAGGTGAGTGCTAAGCATATCGATCCCCATGATGTTGCGAATGGATAGTGCCTAAAGGAATGCCTAGAAATCTTGTAGAAAGTTATCATTCCCTAAGTATCCTTGTTGAATCCAATAGCTGAACCTCAAATTGAAAAAAAAAAAACATATATTTGTTTTCTTTTTGTAAATAGTAATAGTTTTGATAGGTTACAACTTCTAGATGTATGAACATATGTATATAAGGAAATTAATATACTGGGCATATATATTTTATTTGATATAGATCGATATATAATTTATATACATATGAAATAAA